TGTTTTTAAATAGTGACTAGTGCAAAACACAGCATGCCATTGTTAATTGTGACACTGACTGTATTTTTGTTCCAAGTTTGACATAACAAGAGGTGTGTGTACTGCTCTGTGACCACTGAGAACTCAGTGCCCTGCCTGTGGTTTGAAGACATCTTATTATGACTGCTGCCATTTAGATCCCATTGCCTAGTCGTGTCAGGTCACTGTCAATGCACGGTGTGCAATATTTCATGCTACCATAATGATGGCCTTAATTCATCAATAATATTGAAGCCATTGACATTCGCTTCCCAAATACCATTTTCCCTCTGCTATTAAGTAAATCATATCTGCTCATAGGTGGAGTACTTCCCTATATTTCTATGTATATTTCTATATTTCTGCTGATTGTTTTCTTTATTTACATTTTTCTAGACAGGTGGAAGATCTTTCAATTTTTATGTTAATGATTAAATGTCTGTATCATCAGAAGATAGTTTTAATACCAGCTGAATGTGTAGTTCGGGTATATCCACTATTTATTTTGTTTTTTGATAGAGCAGAGAATAGTTAGAGCCTCTTTCAGGTTTTCATGAGGTCTCTTTCAGACAGGTGGTTAGCAGGCTGTAAAAACGGGCAGCTGAGCCGTGGTTTTGCCGCCCACCTGAACTGTAAAATAACATCTGTACAAGGCTGTTCACATGCCTCATCCACCAAGCCCTCAGAAAAGCAATCTAAATGTGGAGTGTGAAAGACCCTTACTCTTCCTCTTTGGGAGAATTCCACTCCATTTCAGTAATTACAGGAGATGATATACAGAGCCTTGAAAAAGTATTCATACCCCTTGAAATCTTCCACATTTTTGTCATGCTACAGCCAAAAATGTAAATGGATGTTATGTGATAGACCAACACAAAGTGGCACATAATTGTGAAGTGGAAGGAAAACTATAAATGGTTTTCCATATTTTTTAAAAATAAATATCTGAAAAGTGTGGTGTGCATTTGTATTCAGCCCTCTTTACTCTGATACCCCTAACAAAATCTAGTGGAACCGAGTGTCTTCAGAAGTCACCTGATTAGTACATAGAGTCCAACTGTGTATAATTTAATCTCAGTATAAATACAGCTGTTCTGTGAACCCCTCAGAGGTCTGCTAAAGAACATTAGTGATAAAACAGCATCATGAAGGCCAAGGAACACCCCAGACAGATCAGGGATAAAGTGGTAGAGAAGTTTAAAGCAGGGTTAGGTTATAAAAAAAAAAAAAATCCCAAGCTTTGAACATCTCATAGAGCACTGTTCAATCCATCATCCGAAAATGGAAAGAGTATTAAACAACTGCAAACCTTCCAAGACATGGCTGTCCACCTAAACTGACTGGCCAGGCAAGGAGAGCATTAATCAGAGAAGCAGCCAAGAGGCCCATGGTGACTCTGGAGGAGCTGCAGAGATCCATAGCTCAGGCGGGAGAATCTATCCACAAGACAACTATTAGTTGTGCACTCCACAAATCTGGCCTTTATGGTAAGAGTGGCAAGAAGAAAGCCATTGTTAGAAAGCCATAAGAAGTCCCGTTTGCAAGAAGTCATGTGTGCAAACATACAGAAGAAGGTGCTCTGGTCAGATGTGACCAAAACTGGACTTTTTGGCCTAAAAGCAAAACGCTTTGTGTGGTGGAAAACGAACACTTCTCATCACCCTGAACACACCCTGAAATGTGGTGGCAACATCATGTTGTGGGGATGCTTTTCTTCAGCAAGGACAGGGAAGCTGGTCAGATTTGATGGGAAGATGATTGGAGCCAAATACAAGGCAATCTTAGAAGAAAACCTGTTAGAGTCTGCAAAAGACTTGAGACTGGGGAGGAGGTTCACCTTTCAACAGGGCAAGGACCCTAAACATACAGCCAGAGCTACAGTGGAATGGTTTAGATCAGAGAGTACTCGTGTTAGAATGGTCCAGTCAAAGTCCAAAGTAAATCCAATTGAGAATCTGTGGCAAGACTTAAATTGCTGTTCACAGACTGTCTCCATCCAATCCGACAGAGCTTGAGCTATTTTGCAAAGAAAGGGGGCTGAATACAAATGCCTGCCACACTTTTCACATATTTATTTGTAAAAAATTTTGAAAACCATTTATCATTTTCCTTCTGCTTCACAATTATGTGCCACTTTGTGTTGGTCTATCACATAAAATCCCAATAAAATACATTTACGTTTTTGGTTGTAACATGAGAAAATGTGGAAAAATGTGATGTAGTGTGACGTGACTCTTCAGAAAAAATAAATTGCACATCAAGAGACTGGGCAAGATTCTTTGGTTAGTTTAAAAAATGCTAAGAGCGGAGCCATGGTTTGTATGACAGGTAAATATTACTAATCTTCACTGTCAAATAACAAGAATTACTAATATTTTGAAAAGAGGTCTTTGTTACATGGCAACAATTACCTTTAACCCTCAACCCCCATTTTCAACTCTAACACTTAATCCCCTCTCCCCATTACTTACTCCCAAAGCAAACACGTATTATCAAACAACTCCTCACCATAAACCTTAAAACAGAATAAAACTGTATCTGAGCTCCACAAACTGGGAACGCTATTTAATTCATGTTTAATATTCAAAGCAAATTCATAGAAACATAGAAAAGTGACGGCAGAAAATACCAAGTGGTCCATCGAGTCTGCCCTTTTTTTTGTGTTTTTTTTGCAGGGGGGGGTGATTTTGTTTTTGTTGGGGGGTTGTTTTTTTTTTGGTTAGCGGTTTTTTGTCTGAGTATAGATCTATGCTTGTCCCAAGCATGGTTGAAGTTATTTACTATTGACTGGCTCACTACCTCTGCTGAAAGTCTTATTCCAAGCATCAACTACTCTTTCAGTAAAATAGTATTTCTGAGATTAGTTTTGAACTTTCTTCCAGTTAATTTAAAGTCATGTCCTTGTGTTCTTGATTTTGGTTTTGTGTTGAAAATACTACCCTCCTGATCCTTATTCACTGCCTTGATGTATTTAAAGGTTTCAATCATGTCTCCCCTTTCTCTTCTTTCCTCCAGACTGTACATGTTAAGTTCCTGAAGTCGCTCTTGAAATGTTTTATCCCCCAGACCTTTCACCATTTTTGTTACCCGTCTCTGGACTCATCCTATATTATCAATATCTTTTTTTGTAAGTGAGGTCTCCAGAACTGGACACAGTATTCTAAGGGCTCGTTCACACTAGGCTGTTTTGCCAACGCTTGCCAAACGCCCCTATAGCGTTTGGCAAGCGTTGGTCCGGTGTTTGCGGAGCAATTTTAACGCTCGGCAAACGCTCCGCAAACGCCGCATGCGCGGTTTAGCGGCGGTTGCTAGGCGTTTGCCGAGCGTTAATAACGCCCCACAAATGCCTATAATGCATTTGAGTGGTGTTACCGCTCCGCAAACACCCCGCAACTGCACCGCAAACGCCGGCCGGGCGTTTGCGGAGCGGCACCATAGACGAGAATAGGAGGCTTCAAAGCCTCCTGACTCGACCAGAGGCGTCCGTTTTGCCGCGACGCGACGCAAACGCTCCTGTTAGAACAGCACCATGTGCTGTAATGTGCAGAATTGGCAGGGGCGTTTGGGAAGCGGTAAAAACGCTTCCCAAACGCCTGTCTGCCGCCTGCACACAAGGCTAGTGTGAACGTAGCCTTAATGAGGTCTAACTAAAGATCTATATAGGGGAATCAGGACCTCCTTCTGGTGACCCCTCTAGTAATGCATCCTAGAATTCTATTGGCTTTCCCCACTGCTTGGTCACACTGTTTGCTCTTTTGCAATAATCTGAAATAAGTAACCCTAAGTCCTTTTCCTCTGCAGTGCTGGCCAACAATGTACCCCCAATGTTGTACTCTCTCAAGGGATTTTTTTTTTTCCTAGGTCCATTATTTTACACTTAGAAACATTGAACTGAAATTTCAACTTTTTTGACCAATCTTCCAGCAATGCCAAATCATGGTCCATGTTACAGACACCTGCCGAATCTCGGCCCTATTACACACCTTTTGTGTTTTCAGCAAAATGACATACCTTGCCCCACAAACCTTTAGTTATATGACTTACATATAGATTAAATAGAACAGGACTTAGTACAGAGCCTTGTGGTACACCACTAGCGACTGGTCTCTTTTTCCGAGTGAACCCCATATGCAACCACACTCTGGTATCTATCTTTTAGCCAGCTGCATATCCACTGAACCACCCAAGGGCTATCTCCTAGCTTGGACAACTTTTTTTTATTGAATCATTAAGTGTAACTGTATCAAATGCCTTGTTTAAATCAAGATATGCTATGTCCACGGCACCACCCTGGCCCAAAACATTGGTAATATAGTCAAAAAATCCAATTCGCCCATCCAGCCATGTCTTCCTGCTTTATTTTGTTGAGAAATCACTTTGAAAAACACCTGCTAGCATTTCTAGCCGTGGCCAACTTGAATAAGGGCAGATGATTCATGTAGCATCAACTTCATGTAATTCATCTGTCCTCAGCTCAGGCATGCAGGAAGGAGGGTGTGCTTTGCTTAGAAAGTCCCTCTTCCCCTCCGCCAGATGAAAGAAAAAAATGCCCATAATTTATTACATCATTTTGGCTTAAGCCAGAAACCAGGAGGTAAATGAAGAAATGTAAAAAAAAAAAACAAAAAACAAGTAAATATAATTTACATTCCTAGCTATTTACTAATGCTAGCCCTAGCCTAACCTATTAACTCCTTCCTGCCTGGCGAATTGTAAGATGTCGGCCGAGTGGGATCCCTATTATCCTGAGAGGATGTCATATGACGTCCTTCCAGGATCATGCCTCTTGAACGCCTCACGGGCCACGCTCTGTTGTGATCTGTCACTGACCATGTCCACCAGACACGGCCTATGATAGATCACTACACCAGTCCACTGTAAGTGTCATGTGATCACTGTGACCAACCACACCAGATCACATGACAGTTGTAAATAATGAATAGTTTCCTTTGATGCCATTCATTGCTTACAACTGTGCTGCTAGCTGTGATTGGTCACAGTGGTCACATATACAGACTGGGCCAATCACAGCTCATCTGTAGCATGTGATCAGCAGTGGTCAATAACAACTGATTACAACAAGAACTACTGAATTAATCAGTTTCATTCAGTAAAAATGCTCAATGAAATTAATTGAATAAGCAATCATGCTTGGGAAAAGAAAATCTTGATCACTTGCCCAGAGTAGTACAATGTTACTATGGTAACATTGTATTGCTCTGATCACATGGCCACAGTAGAAAAAAAATCATTAAAAAAAATGTAAAATGTAATAAGAATTAAAAAAAAAAAAAAAAAAAAATTATTACATTTTCTTCACATACTGTTGCCAGTCAATGTTGCTGATCACCGCTTATATGATGACGCTGTACTGCATTGGTGATGGTATGTAAAAAAAGAAAAGAAAGTGTGAAAACATTTTTTTGCATTTCTTCATTTTCCACAAACGTATGACTTCAAAAAACTCGCCATGCCTCTTATTAAATACCTCAGACTGTCTACTTTCCAAAAAGTTGTCACTTGGGGGTGCAACTGAAGGCTCCGCAATGTTTCCTGGAGTTCGTCCGTGGTCTTGCAGGTGTGGTCACGGGCTTGGTACCGAAAACGCACTGCGAAGGGAAAACACCATTTGTAGGGTATACCTTGTTGTTGAAGCACCAGTAGATGCGGTTTCATGGCCCTTCATTTGGTAATGGTGCTGGGACAAAGGTCTTGAAATAGCTCGTAGGTATGACCCTAGAACACGAGAGTCCGCGCTGCGGGCTTCTTGCAGAAGTTGTTCTTTTGAGCGAAAAAAATGCGTCAGTGCGTTTTGGAGCCAGCACCCTGTGAACCCTATCCAATTCTAGGCGTTCAATGGGTATAGCGGGTGCGAGCTCCTGGAATAACGCGGTAACAGTGGATTGGACATCTACTATCGACTCGAATTCGCACGTTGGAGTGCCTAGCCCGATTTTCAAAGTCCTCCAAGCGCGACTGTAACATGGAATTTTTGTCACGCAAAAGGTCAAGTTCGTCTCCTAGTGTTTGAAGTGAGGTGTCAAGGTCATCCACCCTTTGCTCCAGGTCAGCAGTGCGTTGCCCTAACTTGAAAAAACTCGCCATGCCTCTTATTAAATACCTCAGACTGTCTACTTTCCAAAAAGTTGTCACTTGGGGGGGTATTTGTACTGTCCTGGAGTTTTTGGGCCTCAAGAAATGAGAGGTCATCAGGATTTATCGATTTTTAGATATATGCCATAGTTTGTGAACTGTATAACTTTCCTACCAACTAAATAATAATGATTTAGGAAAAAGGCATTTTTTTCAAACTTTTTCTTTTTTTTTTTTTTCATTTATATGCAAAAAAATAAAAATAAAAATAGTGGTGATTAAATACCACCAAAACAAATCTATTTGGGTAAAAAGTCATATGGGTACAGTGTTGCATGACATCAAAATTGTCATTCAAAATGCGACAGTGAAAAGTGCAAATTGGCCTGGGCAGGAAGGGGATGAAAGTGCCTGGTAGGCAAGTGTGGTTAAACCTAATCCAGTCCTCAATTTCTGCATCAGAGTTAAGCATTCCTGCAAAAAAAAATTATGCAAGTCTGAAATTCTGGTAGCAGCTCTGCAGAAAAATTACTTTTTCACTATAGTTGTTTGTAAAATGTTTCTCTCTTAGCACAATTGCGGAAGGTGACTCGGTCCAAAACTGATTTTCTAGTTGTAGTAGATGCTGAAAAAATAAACCAACTAACGGTCTATTTTGAATTCTCAGATCTGCACACCTACTGCAAAATTTATAAGGGGTCCTATTTTCTGTTCATATTTGAACTCATATTTTATTATGGAGAATGGAATGGGAAGAGTGGAAATGCTAGGGAAAAAAAGGGAGACTTCGGGGTATGTAGGGGCAGAGTTACAAAATATGGCAGTGAGATTGATCTCCTGGAACTCTTGTGCAATATAAGAAGACAGGATGACAACCCAAGGGTTTCAACCTATTTCTGAAATCACAGTTTCAGATGGACTTCCATTTTCACTTGCGAAGTCTGGTAAATAAGAATTCCTATAAATAATCAAGTGTGAATATAAATGTCAGTAATAGTCTCCCTGAGAAAGCAGCAAGTTGCTGAATGTTAGTATCAGAAACAGTGAAAGTGTTCATATATGATATGGTGAATGTATACTGATTGACTCATATTATGTGGTGAAAGACAGCCCACATAACATTATCTTCAAAGCTCCCTGAAATTGTTACTCATATAAAAACACACACTGACACTGCATTTCTTCCTGCATCTCTTTGTTATGAAAGACCATTACCTGCAATGAGAAATGATTAGCTGTAGATGTATTTGTAATAAAAATAGCTTTTTCCACACTTTTTTTTACTGGTAGAACTTTGTTTGCGGCTTGAGGTTTTACCTTATATTACATAAGAAAATTTACTGTAAATATCACCCATAAATCAAAGAACATTTTAACAGAGCTTGACTAAAATATGTAATTAAAGTGCAACTAAAGAATTTTAGGATAAAGAAGGAAATAGTTTGAAGGAAATATTTTTTGCTAAATGCATCCCATTTGGTAGATTTATCTTCATTTTTGTCTGAGATACTACAGAAAATGGCAAAGTCAAAGGTAGAGGCCATGGTAACAGACTGCAGTAATCATGCCCATACCTGGGACATGGCAGAAAGTATGTAATTTCAGTGAAAATTGTGAAGTTGGAGTTCAGTGATGACAGCACCAAAACTGAGCCCTTAACACTTAGGGTCCCTTCATGCCTATACAAAAAAAAAAGTGCATTAATGCAAATTGCACGAAAATAGGCTTTGAATGGGCCCTTAACAAGCCTCAATGCATGGAAAAATGTATCTGCACTTGCAAAGGCCACCAAGTCACTTCAGGGCACAAAAGTGACATAGCAAATGGCTGGAGAAATCAAAGCCAACTTCAGAAGAATAGGTAAGATTTGACAGCTAGCTTAGCCCATCAAGAGAGCCAAGTGCTGCATTTACCCCAAAGTCCTTCTCTCTCCCTAGTGCTTAGCCACCAAACTGAACGTTTATCTCTAGACAAGCTCTGTTAACCACTTCCAGTCCGGGCACTTTCACCCCCTTCCTGCCCAGGCCAATTTTCAGCTTTCAGTGTTATCACATTTTGAATGACAATTGCATGATCATGCAACACTGTACCCATATGAATTTATTAGCATTTTTTTGAGACCGATAAAACTTTATTTTGGTGGTATTTATTCACCACTGGGATTTTTATTTTTTTTTGCAATATAAATGAAAAAGTCCCAAAATTTTGAAAACATTTTTGCAAATAATCTTTCTTCATAAAATAATAATAATATTTATTCTAAAAAATGTATTCAGATATCTTTTTAGTAAAAAAAATAACCCAAATTAGTTTATAACCAAAAATTATAATTTTTCAATTTTTTTTTAACATTTTTATTTTATTTTTTTATATTATTACTTATGGGTTTTTTTTGTTTTTTTTAATTATACAGTCACCCTAGGAGTACAGTGCCACCATAGTGACACTGTACTACTTGTGGGGGGTGATGAAGATTTTTTTTTTTTTTTTTCCTTTTTTTACACTGATAGCTTTTACACCCATAAAGGCTGTAAAAGCAATCATTTCTGTTTCTCTCTGGCAGCATTCTTGCAGCCATTGAGAAATACTGTGCGAGCTGTGATTGGTCACAGCTTGTCACATGGTACAAGGCTGTTGTGAATAGTCTTGTAGCATGTGACCTCTGTGATCATTCACAGATTTCACAAGTAGTAAGCAATGATGTCAGGAAGTGACATCTTGTTTACTACTATTCATCTGATCACTGATTGGCCAATCAGAGGTCCTGTACACAGTGGGCACCAGATCATGGTGCCACGTGCTCCCAGGGAGTGCGCACAGGCAGCGAATGCAGGTGACGTTTAAAACGTCAACCTGCCTCTGCAGTGCTCCCGTCTGGGCATTTATAGACATGGGGCCCGGACGGGAAGTGGTAATATATTTAGAGTTAGTGATGATTGATATTTACAGTAAATTTTCATAACTAGTTAAAATAAATAAAACTTCAAGTCTCAAAGGTTAGGTTAAGTAATAGGGTGAGAGGCTGACTAGCGATAAACCCCTCCAAAGTTAGGAAAATCCCCTCTTAGGCCTCATTCACACCATACGTGCAGAAAACCTAATGGAAACTGACACTTGCAGACACATCAGTTTACATCAGTTTTCATGTGTGCTTCAATGAGTTTTATACATGTTGCAGATTCCTGCACAGAAAAAAATCTGCATGGTACCAGTGTTGTTGTGTGAACAGAGCACATAGAGAACAAATAATTTTGCTGTGCCCTTGCAGAATGTGTGCAGAAAAACTGACATCTCTGCACCAGGGTGTGAACGAGCCCTTAGACAGCTGTCAACTAAACATGTATCCTCATGGGAATATTTCCCATCATTTGCTTGTTTTAGTGATTGTGGTCACCAAGACAAATTGCAAGAGGAAATCTCCTTGGGAGGAACAAAGATAGCAAAAAAAAAAAAACTTGACCATATGTTCTAACACTTCCCACTCGGGTCAGGTCACAGGGAGTCCCTGCTAAAAATGAGTATATCTACAATTCACAGTGTGATCAATAAACTGTAGATATAACAATAATACATATTTAGTAACAATTGTAATGCCCTTTTACATTGATGGTCAGGGAAGAAAGGTCCCACTATATTAGTGATCACTGTTGTGCCCATTTTCACTGGTGGTTAGTGTAGCACACCCTTTGGTGGTGGAGAAGGGTCCTGTTACATTGGTGGTCAGTGGAGAAGGGCATTCCCCTTACATTGTTGGCCAGTGAAGAAAAGCCCCATTACATTGGTGGTTAATGTAGTACCCCTTTACACGGGTGGTCAGTGGAAAAGGGACCCCTGTTGGTGGTCAGTGGAGAAGGGCTCCCCTAATTTGGAAATCAGTGGAGTAGCCCACCTCATTACATTAGTGGTTAGTGGAGAAGAGCCTCATTACATTAGTGGTTAGTGGAAAAGCAGTCCCTGACATTTGTGGTCAGTGAAGATCGTCCTCGTACATTGGTGGTCAGCGGAGAAAGACTACCTTACATTGGTGTCCAGTGGTGAAGAGCCCATTCCATTGAAAGCCAATAGAATACCCCTGGTTGGGAAAATCTATTTTCAAAATACATACAAACAGCTTTTACAAGGGTGCACGCAGTGCTCAGGACAATATTGTTGTAAACAAAAGGCATGGGGCTGGATTCATACTGTAGCAATTATTTAAAAAAAAAAAAACCACACTGTATTTTTTTTTTTTTTTGCATTTTGCTGTGTTTTAGTTATGTTCTCTAGGGCCCACTCACACTTTTGTATTTTAGTGCATCTTTTCCAGTCTGCATGAAAACACATACAGTCAGGTCCATAAATATTGGGACATCGACACAATTCTAACATTTTTGGCTCTATACACCACCACAATGGATTTGAAATGAAACAAACAAGATGTGCTTTAACTGCAGACTGTCAGCTTTAATTTGAGGGTATTTACATCCAAATCAGGTGAACGGTGTAGTAATTACAACAGTTTGCGTATGTGCCTCCCACTTGTTAAGGGACCAAAAGTAATGGGACAGAATAATAATCATAAATCAAACTTTCACTTTTTAATACTTGGTTGCAAATCCTTTGCAGTCAATTACAGCCTGAAGTCTGGAACGCATAGACATCACCAGACGCTGGGTTTCATCCCTGGTGATGCTCTGCCAGGCCTCTACTGCAACTGTCTTCAGTTCCTGCTTGTTCTTGGGGCATTTTCCCTTCAGTTTTGTCTTCAGCAAGTGAAACGCATGCTCAATCGGATTCAGGTCAGGTGATTGACTTGTCCATTGCATAACATTCCACTTCTTTCCCTTAAAAAACTCTTTGGTTGCTTTTGCAGTATGCTTTGGGTCATTGTCCATCTGCACTGTGAAGCTGTGTCCAATGAGTTCTGAAGCATTTGGCTGAATATGAGCAGATAATATTGCCCGAAACACTTCAGAATTCATCTTGCTGCCCTCTGTATTCACTCTGGTGAAGTCTTCTCTTGATTGTTGACTTTGACACACATACACCTACCTTCTGGAGAGTGTTCTTGATCTGGCCAACTGTTGTGAAGGGTGTTTTCTTCACCAGGGAAAGAATTCTTCGGTCATCCACCACAGTTGTTTTCCGTGGTCTTCCGGGTCTTTTGGTGTTGCTGAGCTCACCGGTGCGTTCCTTCTTTTTAAGAATGTTCCAAACAGTTGTTTTGGCCACGCCTAATGTTTTTGCTATCTCTCTGATGGGTTTGTGTTGTTTTTTCAGCCTAATGATGGCTTGCTTCACTGATAGTGACAGCTCTTTGGATCTCATCTTGAGTTGACAGCAACAGATTCCAAATGCACATAGCACACTTGAAATGAACTCTGGACCTTTTATCTGCTCATTGTAATTGGGATAATGAGGGAATAACACACACCTGGCCATGGAACAGCTGAGAAGCCAATTGTCCCATTACTTTTGGTCCCTTAACAAGTGGGAGGCACATATGCAAACTGTTGTAATTCCTACACCGTTCACCTGATTTGGATGTAAATACCCTCAAATTAACGCTGACAGTCTGCAGTTAAAGCACATCTTGTTTGTTTAATTTCAAATCCATTGTGGTGTTGTATAGAGCCAAAAATTTTAGAATTGTGTCGATGTCCCAATATTTATGGACCTGACTGTAAAATGCACCTTTCAATGCACTTTACATTAAGTTACAATTACTTTACATTAAGTTACATAGTAATGCGCGTCGATAAGCACTGACATGCTTTGGGATATGAGTTGGTATGAGTTGACATAAATTTTGATGCAGTTGATGCAGTTGCATTGATTTATATGGAAAATTCATCGGGCAATAACACATTGAATCCTGTAGTGTGAAACCAGCCTTAGAGTAAAGTGGATTAACAATATAAATTGGAACAACCTGATCCATATTGAGTTGCTACTTTAAAGATAAAGTGATACTAAACCTAAAAATGCTTTTTACCTTAATGCATTGCTTGCGTTAAGGTAAAAAAAAAAAACAACATTTTTAAGTTCCGTCTGTCCCCATTCCCTGGGTAAAGGGGAAAAGAGGGAGAAGAGATCAGCGCTGTGCAAGACTGCATCTCTTCTCCCCTCACATCCTCTTCACACAGGAACTCAAACAGCACCAGGAGCCATTGGTTCTTGCTGCTGTCAATCAAGTGCAGTGAAGAGCACACTGGAGGGCTAAGTCCCACTGTGTGTGTCTATGGAGCATGGCTCCATAGACACACAGGTCGGGAGCAAGCACACACTATTTGTCTCCATAGCAAATGACTTGAAGAGGAGGAGCCAGGATCGCCGGCGGGGGACCTGAGAAGAGGAGGATCAGGGCCACTATGTGCAATACCACTGCACAGAGTAAGTGAGTATAACAAGTTTGGTTTTTTTTAAATTGCCTTTAGAAACATTTTAATTTAAATCAGAAATATGGAGCCTGTCACTTCTTCTGACCCACTGGCTTTAATATACCCTGAAATATTAACCCATAAGTGATATGCGGATAAGGAAAGTCAGAGCAATGTCAGAAGTCCTTTTCTGCAAACGTATTCAGTGGTTTAAAATTTTTAGGTGAGCGGGTTGACGTCACTGCCAGACAGCTAACATTTTCAACAGAAGAGGTTAGCAGTGTCAGCCTTCCTGTTTTACTTTTGACAGGTTTCCATTAAATTGGAGCTCCAGGGCAAAGTAGCAGGTTACCCTAACTGCTGCCCACCCCAGCCTCTTATACACACCTTACTTTCACTCTGCAATTGCACCTTTCAGCCATTAGGAGCAAATAGGGGAAACCATATGTAAGCTGCAAGCCCACTCTCCTCCCCCCCATGTGGCAGTGCTGGTGTCTTCGATACCTAGTTACTGCTTTTGGTGCCATTCGAGGTGCTTGGGCTTTGGAACAACAGGTTTGATGATTCACAGAGCAATATGGGTTCAGGCTTGAATATAACCTAATCCAGAAAGCAGTACAGGTATATGGAACAGAATGGATGCCACAGTTCGCTAGTTCAACAGGTGATGTGTGATGTAAACAGCCTCTGGCTCCTTCTGTGCCACTCTCCTAATGCACTGTCCCTCCCCAGGGCCTAACAGTAGAGGTCCAGGATCGGGGAGGGGTGAAACACATTAGGGGTGTGGCACAGGAGGTGGCTGAGGTCATTTACATCACATATCACCTGCTGAGCACAGCAGTGCAGCATCCATTTGCTTCCATATACCTGTAGTGCTGGTGACTAAACCACCAACCGCAAAGTACCAGTGCTGTCATGTGGGAGGAAGTATACTGAGTCATGCTACCCTTACATAGAGCATCAGATATATTACTGTGCTCTCTGGTCAATTTTAGAGGAAGGATCCTAGGTGGAGCGTCTGTCTGTGTTTGTGCATATGCCAAACAATAGAATTGATTCTACCCTTTGGAAGTGGCAACTCCAGGGCTTTGGTAATTTTAGGAAACTTGTTCATACACAAAAACACTGATAGACATATAAGATTTGAAGTTTATCTCTAGGCAACACCTTTTTTCTAGTTTTGGATATAGTAGGGAAGGAGACCCTCTGTCAAGTTTGTATTGCGGTCTGTGCCCCCACTGGGAAGAAAGCTCCCTCTAGTTCTAATGGTGACCATTGTCACCTGGAAACAAAGTGATGGGAAATACAAAATGTTAGTCGTCCCCAGAACGAAGGTGAGGGGGAATCTTCTAATAGGGACACTTGTTCCGAGGACAACTGTCTAGGCAGGCAATTTCCTTTTGGGAGATTTCCTCAAACTTCTTGTTGCATCTCTGGAACAACAAGTTAAGGGAAATTTGCCCAATGGCACACAGCCAGCAA